AGACACACTATTAAAAAAAGAGAAGATAAAGATAATGATGTAAATAAAAGAAAGGTTTCAATTTTAGAGATAACTAAAAAGAAGGTTATAAAGTGAATTGAAGAAGGGCAATAGGCAGATTGATGAAAACTAATTTGTAGTCTTGATAGGCAGTAAGAACCAGCTATTAATGTATTATTGAAGCCAATTGCAGGATAAAATAATACAGAGGCAAATCTTACTATAGCAGGTTGCACATGTGTACTCAATGAGCAACCAGGTGAGTCTCCACTTGTAATTTAAATACTATAGAATATAACTCTTTAGAAAATTTTAATAGTTTAGATAATCAACCACAACTCTTTCCAATGATCACTCGGTCCAAAATTCTTATGGAAGAAAAACACAAATTTTGTTGGAGAGTCGTGGCCTAAAGCAGTGGTTTGTCTAGAGGTCAACATACTGTCTAGTGGAACTTCTCTACAGGTAACATTCGGCATGCAAGCCAAGAGTATTATTATACAAGATAACTGGCAGGGGGTGCTCTTGTATAAAAAATCTTGGTGGAGAAGAGGACTCTTACTCTGTGGACACACCTCTTTCTTCGTCGACAAAGCTCTTAGGTCGTACTTCTTTGAAGACATTGGGGAATAGCAAAATATTCTGTTATTTTCTTCAAGCCACACTCTTTTTACTTGGTCAAGTGGTACCTCTTTACTCTCTCTCTCTTTCGTCGGTCTTTCAAAAAAATTCAACAAAAAGTGGGGATTTGGCTTACCTCCTTCAAAAGATTGGCATTGTTTACTTCCCAAATTCGGACAGATTAGCAGAATACAACTACGTGTTTGTTTATGGATGAATATGGTGCTTTTTTATAGGACTTAGCCTGGGAACTCTAATTATGGCAGCAGGTAGCTTGAGACATGGGTCCTTGGACAACGGCAGCACCTGGCTCAAGATATAAATTAGAACAGGCAACAAAGCTATCCGGAGTTGGTGGGAAGATCAGAAAGTAAATTAAATGTTAAGGCAAAGCTTTACAATAAAGATATACAAATGTTGCATTTGTTATATAATTTTTATCAGCTATGCACAGGTTATAATAGTGCCTTCAGGGTTTTAGATTTCTTTTTATGTTTTTTCTTTTTCGCAATCAGTGTTTCTTTTTTCTTTTCTGTTTTTTCTTTTTTTCTGGTCGTTTTCATTATTCTTTGTTGAAAAATTTTTTTCTTTTGTCTCGTGTCTCTTGAGAAGAAAGAAGAATTAGAAGGGAAAAAAGAGATCCTGATGTGGTATACAACAACCTGTCAAATGATCAAGGGGGGTATCCTTTGACAATACAAAATCTGAAGCAAGTTTTAGATCCCGAGTGAGACTAATAGTTGTTATAGCAAGTCACATTGGATAAGTTTTTATTAGATCAGAACTATTTACTATATGAAAAACATATGTATTTTGTTACAGTGTTTTCACATAGCAGTTCACATTAATAAAGGCAGGATCGCTTAAAAAAAATAAAAAATAAAAAAAATAGTTTAGATAATTATTACAAAGCCTAATAAAGTGAAGACAAGACTGCCAAATTAAAAAAAAAAATAAAAAATAAAAAAAAAATAAATAAAAGATTTTTTGGCTATATTAATACCAAAAAAAAAAACTTTAAATAATACAAATATACTGTAATAGCTATAAAACAATTTGAAGTTATATATATAGCTAATTTTATACTTGTTATATATAAAGAAACAATTATTATAAAATGCACCTATGGTGTTCAACACCATATATAATTGTTTTTAATAAAATTTAAGGTTAGGATGCATTTTTATAAATTTTTTTTTTTTATATATTATAATATATTTTAGCTTTCATGAGGTTTTTAGGGGTCCTGAACATTTTTACTTGGATTACCCGATCCAGTTTACTTAGTATGTTTTTAAGAAATAAAGACCTATGGTGTTGAACACCATAGATGCATTTTAGTAAACTTGTAAAAAAATTATTTTAACTTATAAGGCTACAAATATACTAATAAAAAACCTGGCTATAAACCTTTTAGCAATAAAACGTAGCAATAAAACCTAGCGACAAAATCTAATAATAAATAAAAAAAATTCATTTTATACTTTTTTATACTCTGTTTTTATTGAATTATAATAAAAAGTTTGGAATATTTTAAACGATATAAAAACCACTATATAAAAATTGTTTAATACCGATTATTTATTATAAATCAACACTATAGTTTTTGCATTTATATAAACTTACAAATTTCAACAATATTAATCCAAATTCCAATACCTAAATAGTAAACGAGTTAAAATACCAATATCAAATAATTAAAAACTAAAATGTTACTATTAAGCAATTTATGTTAGCTTTAATATTTACCTAACTCGGAAATCATCACTTGAATTGTTTAAGTAGGATTAGTAGTATTGATTAAGACAAATAAAATATTGGTGTATGATAAATACCTGCAACTAATAAACCCAGGTTCTGTCGGAGAAGCGGCAATACATCGGATAGTACTTCCATGTCCTTATTTAATATAATCGGATTTTATCGCAAAAAGTCGAATTTAAATATGCTAATATATTGAATAAACTCACCTCCCCAACGCTTTAGCAATAAGCCGGTGCGTGAGTCCCAGCAAACAACAGTAGGGTTCACTTCATCACTGCTGAGAACATAATCCTCATTATAAGTGAAGGTTGTTTCCAATGTATTATTCTTAAAAGCAATACAAATTTTGACATTAAAAAATGATGCAAAAGGACAAAAAGATATAATAAAAGGATAGAATACTTTATGAGTAGCACCTTCATACTGCAAGATACATCTTCCACTAATAGCTTCCCATAATCTTGCTACAGAATCTCTTCCACCAGAAAGAATAAATTTACCGGTTTTTGAGAACCTAGCACTTGAGACTGGGGCGCCATCATGCGCATTTTCAATTGTAGTAACACAACGACCGGTTACAGTATCCCATATTTTTATGCTACCATCAAGAGACGATGTAACAAATTGAGAACCATTCGTGGAAAATCGAACCTATCGAATTTAAATCTTATTAAAACTTTAATAGGTCTAAACTAAACCAATCATGTATTATTTTACCTTTGTAATACCGCCTTTATGAAGATCACCCGGTGAAGTGGATGCTGTAAAACATTGAAAATTTTTGACGTCATAAGCCCTTATAGACTCGTGGTCAGTTCCTTTAAAAATATTCAATTTAATTTAATTAGAATATGTAAAGTTCGGCACTATAAATTTAAAAAGGAATCAACCTGCTAGTATATAATCTCCGGATGGATGAAAAGCTATCGATCTAACAACATGGGTATCCTATTTGTATGTGAATATTATTGATATTGATAAATAGTAAATTCATATTCAGGACTAAATTGACGCACCTGTAAATATCGAAACGACCGTTTGACGCCAGGTTTTGATAGATCAAATAGTTTAATGCTTTGATCATCAGAACAAGATGCAAGTACGAGACCGTTTGGATGAAACGATAAGTCATTTACACCCTAAAAAATGCGGAAAAGAATAAATTTACAATATATATATATATATATATACAAATAATAATAAGATTACTTACAGCAAGATGATCGTATAGAGTCCTTATAACTGGCCTATCTTCATCTGAACGACTGTTCATTTTACTTGTATCAAGAACTTTAAGTGAAGCATCAGCAGACCCGGTAGCAGCATATTTTCCTAATAATTGAAAGTTTATTTACGTTTTTCTAATGCGTTTCTTGCGATAATGCGTACGTAATGAACAGTAAATACCATCTCCACTAAATATTGCACATGTAGAAGCAGCCCGATGAGTTGTCATGTACCAAGTTGAATAGTTTGGAATTGGTCTAGGTACTACCAATTAAGGACGAGAAATTATAAAATCCATCATCCAATTAAGTTCTCTGAAACAACTAGATAACAATACCATTTCTAGTCTCCGGATCAACATGTGTTAAATACTTTGAATGATAAACACCATCGTCTCCTTGACTACTGTCGCCTGAATCGGGGTCTTCCTCAGGCATTTCGCATGGTCTCATTTCATCACCTTCATCTATTAATACAAGTATTGATAAGATTATAGTACGATATATGTATCAAACAAAAAAAAACCAATTCGAAAAAGAACCTTGTTCTTTCGCAATATAAAGTAACTCTGATAATTTTGGACTTGGTATTAAATCCACCTGGCTATCCGTCTGTTCAGCAACAATTTGAGCTAATTGTATATATCCATACTCACATAATTGACTAAATACATAATTCATGTGCGAAAAAAAGGAAGAATCATGCTATTCAATATCTATATTTTTTTTATTATATACATTTCTCAGATCGCTATATGATTAAAATTAAACATATATATATATCTCAATAAATGTCAATCCACACTAGAACATTGAATCACTAGTTTTATTATTCAAAGTTAGATAATATGATAAAACAACTTTGAAATAATAATAAATTTAAAGAAACTGTTGAAAGATAAATAATAGATTAATTACTGACCTTACTATTAATGGGATAATTTCTTCGCGAGGCAAAGTTGGCGGCGGATCCATTTTTTTTTTTTTTTTAGTCGAGAAAGACGCTTTATACTTTTGGTCACGTATTACGAAGGTCACGCATTATGAAGGTCACGCGATCAGTAGTCCATACATGTATGGCCGCAGTAAAATTGTATATACAGATATATAACGTTGTCCTCGAAAGACATTTGCGCATATATAGGGATCCATAAATACTTTTTTTTTTTTTTTTACAATCAAGCTACATTATAATAAATATTTTATATCTATTCAAATATATATATAACGTACAATTCATAGATCTAATACATTAATACATCATAATGTTTGCATACATGTTGAAATAAAATTTCTCATCCATGCATGAAAATGAATTGTATGATTTTTTTCGTAATCCAAAATTGAATTAGAATATCTAGTCGAAATTCACCTTATTTTATCAACTCTTTACCCTTCAACATCACTACCAACGATAGTATCAGCCTCACTTTCATATGTCTCAGCATCTTTATAAACTTCGTTTTCATCTGTCTCATCGGCACTTTTCTGGGTTTCTTCACTTTCATCACCAGGATTTACCTCATTTGCATTAGTGTCGGCATCTTCTTGAATACTTTTATCCTTCTCGTTCATGCAAATTATATTATCAACTATTGTCTGAGGTATCTCGACCGTATTCTCACTCAATAAATTTTGGTACATTGGATGCAACCAATCATAAAAGTAGTCAAGCTCTCTGCACATATCAATAGTACGAACTTTGAAATAATCGGATTCTATAACATAATATGAAGGTGCAGCAGAACTTGAACGAGTAAGATGGACCCTCTCTCCCATCGGATAACAACTAATAATAACTTTCGGAAAATCGTATTCATTATAAAGGGCTAAATTATCCATGCTTTGGAAAGTTTGATTCGTTGGTTTTTCAGAGACCCTAAAATAAATGAATCCACCGTCAAGGCGTTCCAGATGTACGCCAGAAATATAATATTTTGAATCTGTGTATGGTGATGGAAAACTCTGAGAAATTGATTATGGATAACTGCATTAATACACAATAACTCAATAATTCAGTAATTGGATATATAGTCTTGGTCCAATAAAAATGCATATTCAATATCAGTGTACCTCTAAATACCATTTCTGTACGAACGTCCGTAGTATCTCTTCTTTCAATACTATAAGAGCTAATTGATTCCATGTTCTACAGACCAGCCGCCATCGCATTAACAGCATATAACTACTAGGTATTGATTGTTTACATCTATAAAAAATTTGACACATTAATATATAATTCATCAAAGCGATTGACCTCACCATTTATTATTTAATTTGTTTAATTTTTTTAAAAAAATAGACATCAAAACCTCATAATTTTTGAAAAATTACATACTTTCCCTTTTCAAGCACTTTTTTCAGGATTTCAAGAACTACTTCGTTAGGAACAAATAAACCATGCATTACTTGTAGGGGAACAGGATTCATAAAGATTCCCGAGTTCACCACTCTAGAGTTTCCTTAAAAGAAAGAAATAACTACAAAGGTGTTGGCAAAAGCATAAATCATTCGATCAAAACATCGAAATAAAAACTAAAAACTATATTGTTAAACAAACGCACCGAATAAGATACCGACAACGAAAAATTTTTTAAAGGACTCTGGTATAAACGGTTTTGTTACGTAAATACCAGAGTTCTGTCATAAGATTATCATACATTCACACCATTTTAAAGACGGTATCGGTATTCGGTATTGTATCGTTACAGGCTTGCGATTTCAAAATTTCAAGATTTGTAACACAAGTTTTTTTGGATGATCGGTGATCCATTTATTCTATTATATTATAGTATTAACCAAAGGCAGGCTGCCGAATAGGCAAGTTATTTGCTTCTTGACCCAATTCGGAAAAGCTTATTTCTATAGTCTATAAATAGGTAACAAATAACCGTGTTTAAAAAATTTGAAATTTTGAACAACAATTCAGTCGCGTCAACATATTAATCCTTTTTTTTTTCGTTTACAGATAAATTTATCGCGAAATTATATCATAGTTCGCGTCGATTTTGTTCTTTTAACGCGCCTACGTAATTTGTAAATCGGATTTGATAATTCATAATATGTATTTTTCAACTGATCATGCCGAAGAGGACCGAATACATCACCGGGTTCTATTGCCGCCGGAGGAAAGGGATACATACCGGTTGTGAATACCAGGAGCAGGCCATAGTTCTTCCGGATCATCTGGATTGGAAGTTTGGGGAAACTTTTTGTAGCTGCCCGATACGAAAGTATCGGAGCAGCCTTTTGTCTCGAATGTCACGGGTTGATCATCTGATTCATTGTTGGATTTTTTGTATGATGTCGTTATGATCTATTGTCGTGATTTATTGTCTGATGCATGAAAATTGACGTCGTTTTTCTTTTTTTTTGAGATTAGTAATCATTGTTAGTATTTAAGAAAACGGGGTTTTTTCCCAGGAAAGGTAATTTCTGTTTTTTCTTGCACATTAGGCATTTAGCGGAAGGGACAGATAACCCATAGTTGATTTTCTTCGTTTTTTTCTTTGTTTTTTTTCATTTGTAACACCCGTCATGAGAGACAAAAAGAGTACTCTAGTGCTGTAAATTTCGACTGTTCCGAGCTTTTTTTGCCTCGAAATGTTCCATCTTATCAATATAAAATTAAAAAATAATGTCAATTTTTTTACTCAACTTTGTCCCAACTTGTCCAAACTCTGTCCTTAATTAAAGGCTGATTTAGGCTAATTTTTCGCGTTTTTTCGCTTTTTTTTTGTCTCATCGGGCTGATCTGGGTAAATAAGAAAACTGGGCTTTAACCTAGCTTTAACCTATCCCTACTTTAGACTATAAGTGCGCGCACATGTACGGATCCAATCAAATTGTTTTATTTCAAATTTTGATTGGATCCGCACAGGTGTGGGTACGTGAAAAATAAACACTGATTGTATGTGTATCATAAAACTATAAAAATCTACTGCGAGTCGCTTAAATAACAAAAAAAAAAACCCCAAAAAAAAATGTATTGCTCCGTTGAGCAATTTGAGTTTTTATTCGAAACTTTGGAATTTCAACAAGACGAGAAAAACGGTTTATTACTTGATCCTTCCGTACGTATTTATTGTAATGCAGACGTGGATGCAATATGTGCTGCTGAAATATTCAAGGTTTGACAAATTTTGTTTACGTATGTTATTTACAACTGGTTTATTTCTCGTTGGTAATAAGCCATGTATACTCCTTCGCAGAAGTTATTTTATCTAAAAAATAAAATATGGAGCATAAAGCCAATTAGAAGCAAAGAGGACTTGGAAATAAAAGATAGACAACCGAGTCCTCTTGCGAAATCGGTAAATATATTGATTTATTTCGACATTTCAAGTAAATCTATGACCATATTCGAATCTGACGTTAATTGATCTTTTATAAATTTTGCCGTTGATTTCGCAAAGATAGTTACGAGCGATCATTTTGCTGAATTTTGGAGGAGACATCGATCTCAGCAGATTTTTTGATTTATCAAGTCATCCTGATTTGATTGTGTACGTGTTTGACAGTCAAAATCCAATTAATTTGAGGAATATGTATAAAGCGAGTTGGAATGTGAGTTGGAAAAGAGGACTTTGTTTCAGGCTGCTACGTTTTTTTTAACTAACGCGACACATCGAAACGCGAACACACTGTAAAAGTAAGTTCTAATTAGGCGATTATTCTGGTTAGATTTTCATAGTATTAGACGACAAAAATTCTCCGGAAAATAAAGATATAATAGAAAAGGTAAAGAAGTAATGCGTTATCAATCCATGAGGTGAATTGCAACTTTGATCGTCGTCGTCGATTTAATTTCGTTTTATTAAAGGCTCAACGTAAAGAATGCGCGGAGCAGGGCGATAAATACGAAATAATAGGTGGTTATAAAGTCATAACGGATGATTTTGGCCGCCCCATCCGAAAACACTGGACCATAATTGATAAGGTTGATTTAAAGTTATTTTTGTTTGTTATATTTCAGTTAATTTTTTTTTTTTACTAACTTACATCTAATCATACAGCCTATTCCTCTGGCAACCGGACCAGCTAGGCGATGTAATCACGGCCCATCAATTGCATTACAGACATATGCTCTTGCTTCGAAAATATTAGCACAAGATAATGACATGCTATGGTATTGTGACTTTACAATATTTAACTATATCAAAATCAAAAAATATTATCCGATCACATATCTTTTCGAATATTTTAAAAGGCTCGCGATAATAGGTCATTCGAGTCTTTTCGTATCCAAAAGAATAAATCTTGTAGAGTACAATAAGAAGATCGGATTTTTGGACGCTCAAGTTCAGAATCTGAATGAAGGTGACAATGTTCAACGTGCTCACAGGCATAAAGCTGTACCCGCTCATTCTGATGATAAGAGAATTATTCGCATTAATGAATATCCTTTATATACTACTCTGTTCATAATTAATTGCCATGTTTATGAATTTATTCAAAAATTTCTTTAACATTGTTAATAATCACGTACCAATGTGTTTTGCTTGGTCACTGGACGTTGTATGACAGTATGCTCAATTCAGAGTATACTTTTAACAAGATGCGTCTCAAAGAAAATCAAGCAGCGAATTTGGACCGACTATTGCGAAACATTGGGTATGAACTTTAAGTAATCGTCATTGTGTAATTTCATAGATAGCAAATTTTTATTAATATTTATTTATTTTATTATTGTAAATTGATGAATTCAGGATTACGCATAGGATGGCCAAACAAAATTTTCCGAATATGGATGTTAAAGTCGCAAATTCACTGGCCGAAATGATTAAGGAAGAAGGTCCAAAATTTGGTCTTGAATATCCGTTATATTCATCATACTGTAAATTCTACGGATATAAACAGCCATCATTATCTGCAAGTGATGCCGCTTATGGGTTAATTACGTTGTTATCAACGAAAAAATCCGCATCAATTGAATTTGGGGTTGAAGTTCGTTGGGTAAGTGATTTTGGAGACGATGACTCATGGTTGAACAATTTTTATACCGTGATGGAAGCATTAGACAGGTATTAAACTTCACTAAATTAAGATTTTATGTTAAAGTTTATAGCTCATTATATTTTGATTTATTTTGTAGTCGTACCGGAACGAGTTTGTTGCAGTCAGGGATTGATCTAAGAAAAGTTCTTCAACCTTTATTTATACAAGGCGTTGCAAATGAGTTTTATATATTATAGATAGTGTTGGTAAAGTCCTTAGGTTTAAAAAGTCCTAATATACAAATTTATAATTGCACAACCTAATCAATATATATATATATATATAGTAACGTTTTAAATGCATAGTTTAAGATCATAATCATTTAATGTATATAGTTCACATAATATTGTTATTATTACACATTCTAACGCAAATAGGTAAATGTCAATATGTACTTGTGAAGGAGTAACGTGAACTAGCCGCAAAGCTGCCACAATTTTTGACAACTTTAAGCAAAGATATCTCGACAACCGTAAAACCAAATTTGATGAGTATGTGAAATCAAAGTAAATTTCATCGAATTTGGTAGTTTAAAAAAATTCTATTACAACTTGAATTTTAATAGACGGTTTAGTTTATTGTAAGCTTTAAACGAAGATATTTTTAGCAACTACCAAATCAAATTCTATGAATTTTTTATTTTTGATTATTTCAAATATGTAGAAACAAATAAAAAAAATTGAAATTTGGTTTGGCGGTTATCGAGATATCTTCGTTTAAATTTAAAATTCTACTGCGGCTTAAACTTAATTGACGGTTTAATTTATTGACTATCTTTAAACGAAGATATCTCAACAACCACCAAACCAAATTTGATGAATCTTTTTTATTTTGGTTCTACAAACATGTAGAATAAAATCAAAAAAATTTTCATTGAATTTGCTTTAGTGGTTGCCGAGATATCTTTAAAAAAATTCTACTACGGCTTAAAATTTAATAGACGGTTTAACTTATTGACTAACTTTAAACGAAGATATCTCACAACTACCAAATCAAATTCGATGAATCTTTTTTTATTTTGATTCTACAAATATGTAGGATAAAAACAAAATAAAAAAATTCATTGAATTTGGTTTGGTGGTTGTCGAAATAACTTCATTTAAATTTAAAAAAATTCTACTACAGATTGATTTAATAGACGGTTTAATTTATTGACAAACTTTAATCGAGGATATTTCACCAATCACTAAACCAAACTCAATAAATTTTTTTTTTGTCTTTATCCTACATGTTTGTAGAATCAAATAAAAAAAGATTCATTGAGTTTGGTTTAGTGATTGGTGAAATATCTTCGTTTAAAGTTAGTCAATAAATTAAACCGTCTATTAAATTTTAAGCCGTAGTAGAATTTTTTTAAAAAATTTAAACAAATATGTCTCGGCAACCACCAAAACAAATTCAATGAAATTTTTTGTTTTTATTCTACATATTTGTAGAATCAAAATAAAAAAAGACTCATCGAATTTGGTTTGGTGGTTGTTGAGATACCTTCGTTTAAAGATAGTCAATAAATTAAACCGTCAATTAAATTTTAAGCCGCAGCAGAATTTTTTTAAAATTTAAACGAAGATATCTCGACAACGACAATTTTTTTATTTTGTTTCTACATATTTGAAATAATCAAAAATAAAAAAATTCATAGAGTTTGGTTTGGTAGTTGCCGAAATATCTTCGTTTAAATTCACAATAAATTAAACTGTCTATTAAAATTTCAAGTTGTAATAGAATTTTTTAAACTTTAAACGAAGCTATCTCGACATATATCAAACCAAATTCAATTAAATTTCATTTATTTAATTTCACACACTTGTTGAACTAAAATAAAAATAATTCATCAAAACGGTTGTCGAGATATATCTTTGTAATTTACGTGATGACCTACATTATGTGCAACTAATTTTATTGGTCAATATTTGTGTAACTGAAAATTTTTGGTGGTGTTATTGGGTAGTTACTAACCGCAGCAAAAAAACGTGATGGCATTTAATAAATGCCAATTCGGGTTTGGCTTGAGGCGAAGCTCCATTGAATAACAATAGTAAGGCACCTCTATGGTGGAAACTAGTCATTGTCATGTATATAAATGAGTATGAATTAATGTTGTTAGCCGACATTTGATATTTAGGGTGTTCTCGCCTAAATCAATTGATCGGAAATAAATTTAAATAGTTGGGGACTAAAAACTTCAATCAAGTAAGCTGCTGCTTTACTGAAAAAAAATCCAAACATCTTTTTTTTCATAGAGTTAACGTTGATTGGCCAAAACTGCTTATTAATAGAGGTTGTTCAAGTGCTTTACATCATGGATCTTCAACGAAATTATAATTGTTAAAAAATTATTACGTTGCTTTTTATATTCAAAATTCTTATTGCTAATAAAAAAATCCCAAGAGATCCAAAGAGTAAACCTTACCAATCTTTATTATCTTCTATCTTTTATGTCAAATGTGGCAATTCCATATTTATTTTTCTTAGTGACATTTTTATATTACTCTTGTCACTTTTAACTATATTGTTAGTTGATTAGAAAACTAACCTATATAAAAGCAAATTGCTATTGTATTATGGTAATTTGCAAATGGAGCAGGCATATAAACACTTGGCATTAATCAAGAGTTAGTATGTTATTTTACAGATTGGTTTTTAAAAGCATTATTAGATGTAGAAAATGATTAAATAATATGCCTGATTAGCTACAGTAACTTATGGATTTGAATATAGAGAAACTGGTTTAGAAAATTGCTAATATTATTGGAGCTATAGATAGGTTATATGGCCAAAATTAGTTCTATGGCAAATTGGTTCTGGAATTGTACAACAGAATCTATAGCATTCATTAGCAAAATATGGAAATAAGTCAATAGAAAAGAGACAAATTTTTTTTAAGTAAAAGTTTTCTTGACTTCAAGCTGAAAAATTTTTTTATTTTAATTATATAATTTCAAAATTAAAATAAAAAAATTTTTAGCAAATTTGACTAAATAGTTGTTAAAATATTTTAATTTAAAAATTAAAATAAATTTTATTAAAAATGATTTGTCACTTTTCTATTAACTCACCCTCATATATAAACATAAACTTATTTAATTGATAATCTGTTTCAATCATATATACTCATATATAGTAAATTGTGATGTATTTTATTATAAGTTTTACTATAGCCAAAAATGCCATTTCATGTAAACAATAGTCAGTTTATATTAGTTGGTAAATTGGTTTTTAGCAATATCTTGGTATTTACTAATTAGATTTTAATGATCTTGCTATCATTAGAATTTAAAACAATAGAGTAAGATATAAAGTAATATAGAAATAGAATATTACTTTACTAAGGTGATTTGGTATAGTTTATTTAAGAGCAAAAATATATGTTTATTAAGATATATTTATTTATAATATAATACTAAAATACAAGGCTATCTAAAGGTATCTATGTCTAAAGAATTCTAATAACTAAAAATTGTAGAGAACAAATTCTAAAGTGCAAGAAGAGAAAACTAGGGTTTATATATTTTTACAGTATATATCAAAAGAATATAAAATAATAAAAAATAATAGAAACAATTAAGAAATAATAAAAAATATTAAGAAACAATAAAAAACAATAAAAAACAAACAATAAAAAACATTAAAAAACATTAACAATCAGCAACTCTTCCCAATGATTACTTGGATCAATTTTTTTGCTAAAAAAAACAGTTTTGTTGGAGTATTGCCTACACCCAAGGTGCAGTAGGACAACATAAAGTACAGTTTTTGTAGAGATCAACTTACTGCTCTGAGAACTCCTCTATATATTCTACATACAAGCTAAAAGCATTGTTATATAAGATAACTGGCAAGAGTTGGTGCTCTTGTATATAAAATAAAAAAGTTTCTTTGTTGATGAAGTTATCTATAGCAAAATAGTCCAAGTTTTTTCAATACTCTCTTTTAGAAATTTTGAAGAACCCACAATCAAAAATCTTCTTTCTATATTCTTGCTTGGTTTAGATTTTTTTAAAGAATTTTTGCTAAACAAAAAGTGGAAAAATTGTCATACCTTCTCCAAAAGATTTGTATTATTTACCAATTCTAAATTGGAAACAAGAGTCATAAGAAATTATAAATTCAGCAGCCCAAAAACTCTAATTACAGCAGTAGGTGGCTTGAGATACAGGTCCTCAGATGGCAGCAGTTTCTGGCTTGAGATACAAATTAAAACAGGTAATAAAGGAATCAAACTGTGTCGTGTAAAACAAGAACTAACATTGACTATTTGAAAAACTTTTATAATAATTCTTGCAGGGCTAACTCTACTTTGAAGATATATACATATAATATGGACTAAATTTAAAGTAGAGCTAAATTTAAGAGTATTATATAATTTTTTAGCCATAATATAGCTATATCATTTTGTTAGGATTTTTTTTTTCTTTTATTTTTTCTTTTTTAAAATATGTGTTTTTTTTATTCTTTTTGGCACTTATTTGGGTTTTTGTTAGTCATTTTTATTCTGTTTACTTTTAAATTTTCCCTTTTTTATCTTGTGTCTCTTGAAAAAAAGAAAAAATTAGAAGGAAAAAAAAAGATTCTGACATGGTATACAGCAACCTGTTACAACTCTTGGGGGTAACTTTGTTATTGCAAAATTCAAAAAAAGTTTTGAATCCTGGGAGTGACTAATAGTTGTTATAGCTAGTTATATTGGGCTTAGGCTTGGTGAGTTTTTATTAGTCACAAATATTAGTTTATTTTGATATCACAGCATCATTTGGCAGTTCAATCAAGTAAATAAAGACAGGATCACTTAAAAAAAAAAAAAAAAAATTAAAAAATATTAAAAAACAATAAAAAATATTAAAAAATATTAAAAAAATATTAAGAAACAATAAGAAACTATATATATATTTTTTTCTTTTGATAACCTCATATTAATTTATTAGAAACTTTAGCAATTTACAAGATTTGCAAAACTAACTATTTAAATTTACGGATTAGGCAAATACCTGGCTGCTATAAAAGTGCCCAAGTATAGTTATCATACTGATATTGCCAACAAGCTCCATATATAGTAATACCCATATTTAAAAACCTACTATAGCTTGGTACTCAGCTACCTACGTTCGAACCAATTATATTTTACCTTCTTTCTAAACTTATTCCACCAATGTTCGGGCAGAATATATTTTCTCCTACTTCTGCATAGTGCAAACAT